AGATAGACTTTTAAAAGTTTAAACACCGTGATTTACAATGTTGTTCATAATGCAGTTGTTTCAGCAAAGTTCCAGTACCAATCCCACCATCAGTGTGAACTTGAACTTGGCTCCACCAATGTTCCAAAGTTCCCACCAATCCCCCTCCCCCAGTCTACCTCCTTATCAGATGCAAACAAGTTTAATTCATACGGCTTACAACAGAACGGCAAATAGAATTATTCAAACATAGATCAAGAAAAGAGAATTTGTATGTGATAATTATTAGATATCACAATGTTGCTGCTAAAATCATTGAGGATTTACTGAGCTGGTTGATGCTGGTTGAACCTTCTGTGTTATTGTTCTTGCTCATTGAGTATGGTGACCTTCTATGCAACTTTTCCCATCAGATTTGAGGTGTTCCTACTATGAAATTTGGAAATGTCATGTGCTCCAAGATCTGTAGAATTGGGATGATTTGGTACCTGGCGGCTCCATGAGGTTCAGTTGCGGGGCTGGGCCATTTATATGCAGAAGGATGTTGGGTGTGGGTGGGCACTACTGGTCTTCTGGTCAATCGTGTTACCATGATATGTGAATTTTTAACTCCTGAATTATAAATTGATTCCTGGTATCAACACAGCTGCCTTTAAGAATCTTTAAGAATCATGATTTCAGCCCTAAAACGCGCCTTCGTCTCTGACCCGTCATACCTAACTGTCCTATAGATGGCAGCATTGAGCAATATATTTCGTCGGTTGCAATTTGGCTTCAGTGTATTTTCAGTGAGGAGTGAATTTTTCAGTGTATTTCATTACAGTACACCACAAGACTAATTTAGCGTAAGATGACAGGATAATACTTGTACCTGCTTAAAATGACTTCAGCTAGATTCCACAAAAGCGTTCCATTCTTTCCATCCAGTATATTATGTGAACCAAATGTGCATTCCCAGAGTTATCTCAATCCATTAATAAAAGGGGGGAAAACCCCCGCAGGGAACAAGTGAAATTACTATAGTGTAATTATAATAAATATGAATTACCTTTAGTGTTGGTAGTGAAACATCGGCATGTTGGAGAAATGACAACATTTTATGATGAGCAATTGACAGATGAAATTCGTTGGTCTGAATGGAATTTGTCAACAATCTGGTTTATTTCATGAATTCTATTGTACATTTTAGCCGCTAAAGTTGTGGTTTTAAAAGAAATCCCTTCTCACTGAGACATTTTAAAGAGGCTTTTATAATAATAATTTGATGCGATCAAAACCCTGGCCTCGAAATTACATCGTTTTTGAGGGCTATGATAAAAAATTTTTGCAAATTAAGTAGATCTTTCTGCTCCCTGGAGAATAGTATTGTTTTTCCATGGAGGCATCATCCCTTGAATTAGCCTTGGAGGGGGGGATTATCAGAAGAGTAAAAGTCCACAGTTTTCCAGAAAAATGTGAAATATCCTTTAACCCCGCCCGGCTATAAACATCAGACCCTGGTGACCTGAGATTACACTGTTACCAGTAAACAACTCTTTTATCATTTTTTTTCTTCCCCAGGGTAAAAGCCGCGCAGAGTTGACTTTCTCCCTAACTTCTGGCTTCCAGGCTCCGAATGCCTGTCCCCAGGTCCCCAGCAAGCAGGCTGTCCCTTCAGATCTCAGTCACTGTTATTGCCGCCTCAATACCAGGCTCCAATAATTGCTATTTAAAGCCCTGCTGTAGTGGGCACTTGTGTCCACACCACCAAGCTGTCAGAGGAAGAGAAGGGCGGGCTCTCGGCCGTGTGTACACAAAATTCTAGATTAACCAGGTTTAGATGAGGCTTGCAGGATGGCAGGAGCAAGGTGAGAGGAGAAATCAACTCCCCGGCTGGCATGGCGAGGAAACCCTGGAACCCCCTACAACGCCCGATCCTCCAATGCACCGATCCCATGCCGCTGCAGGACGCCTCTGGGCCTCTCTCTTCTTTATTATTAATTACAATCATCATTATTATTATTTGTACTACGCTTTTCAGCCTACCTTGGTACCCTCACCCCTTCTCCCCCCCTCCCCGCCCCTCCTGCTAGGCAACACTTGAAAGGCAGGAAGCCCCGCCAATCAGCGGCTTCCCCCGGCGCCCGCCCCCTCCCCTCGCCGCGCCGCGGCTCAGGCCACGGAGCATGCCCAGCGCCTCCGCCGCAGCGTTTCCCCGCGAGCATCCCGCAGTGCCCGGGCGCCGGGGGCCCGAGCGGGGTCTCCCGCGGGGAGGGGGGTGGCGGGGGGCGCCGCAGCCAGCAGGGATGCGGCGGGAAGAGGAGCGAGCCCCAACGCGGGGCCGTCCGCAGCATCTTTTCTCGCGTCCTGAATGAAGGCCACAGCTAGGCAAGCGGAGGAGGGGGTGGACAAAACTGCTTGTTTTCTAGGTCAGCTGCGAAAAAACAAAAACAAACAAACCAAAAAAAAAAAACCACACCAAACACACAACTTTGGGGAGCGCTCGTTGGACGTGAGGCCGATGCCGCCACGTAACTGTGGTTTTAAGAGTCCAGCAGAGCCAGGCTGCTGACCCGTTCTGCTCCGTGAAATGCCCCGTTTTCCCCCCTGTCCAGGGGGAGACGGCGCCGTTGAGTGTAGTCTCCGGACGGACGGTTGCCGTCGCCGTGGCCAAGGGTGAAATGTGCAGGGGTGGGTCGCTGGGTGCGGGGCTGGGTGTGAGACAGACACCGCAGCCAACCTCCTGGCCCCGGGAACCCCGAGGAGCGGGTGGTCCCGTGCCGCGTTTACGCACCGCGCGTCGAACTGGGAGTCTGATAAGGGGCATCTCCGTCCCTCCCCAAGCCCACACCTCCAGGTGTCCCCGCTCCCACTCCCCCCACCCCATCCCCTCCGGAATTGCGGACGCCCGGGGTGGGGCGAAGACGTGTGAATGTGACATTTTTTTTTTTCTTTCTCGAAACGGTCGTTTGCTCACCCGATAGCACCGGAGGAATATATATATATATATATATATATATATATATATATATATATGACGTTTCCCAGGGATCTGTCTGCTGCGCGGTTCTGGGGTGACCCCCACCCCCCACCCCAGTCACTACCCTGCTGCTTCCCTCGGAGGTCCCTCACTGCGGCATACGCGGGGATTCCAAGGTGGAAGGTGCCTCCCCTCCTCTAGCCCCTCTGCTCCCCCCCACGTCTCTTGCAAAAAAAAAAAATAGGGCTCCCCTCATCCTGGCCTACTACCCCGAAACTGCAACGCAACGGCGGTTTCCAGGGAGAAAAGCCGGGGGAGGAGGAAGGAGGGGGTCTCAGCAAGCCCCTTGGGGAGGGGTCGATCTTACCTGTTCGGTAAGCGCCAAACCCCGCTCGCGCGCCCCCTCCTCCCGGGGTCCTCCCACTCGGGGGGCACCCGCCGCCAGCCGCATCGCCGACCCCCCCGCTTTCACCACCTCCGCCTCCCGCAGCCCCCCACCCTCACTCCTGCAGTTCTGCCCGAGCTCTCTCTCTCTCTCTCTCCCCGCCCCACCACCCCGTTTTTCCCAGACTCCCCTCGCGTTTTCGGGTAGCCACCCAAACAGCCCCGCCCGCGCCGGGGATTCCTGCGGGCCGGGGGTGGGTGGGTGGGGGGGGTGGGTGTGTGTATGGGGGGGTGCGCCCTGGGTGGCGCGGGGCTGCGGGACGGGGCGGCCGCGCAGGGGCGCTGCCCGCGCGCTGCGCCGAGCCCGGGCGCCGCTGCGGCACGGCCGGGGGGCGGAGAGGGGCGGGCGCGGGGCGGGCTCGGCCGGGAATGTAGCGAGACCCGGGCGGGAGCCTCTCGGCGGCGGCGGCGGCCGGGCTGCAAGCAAGCGCCCGGGCTCCGTCACGTGTTTTTCCTCCTCCGAGTGAGACGGCGGCGCGGTCGGAGGGGGCCGGCGCGCGGAGCCAGACGCCGCCGCCGCTTGTTTTGGTTGGGGCTCTCGGCAACTCTCCGAGGAGCGGGAGCGGGAGGAGGACGACGACGACGAAGAGGAGGAGGAGGAGGGAGGAGGGAGAAGTAACTGCAGCGGCTGCGCCTCCCGGGGAAGAGGCGTCTTCCCCGACTTCTTTCCCCCCCCTCCCGCGCCACCCCGACCTCCCTCCCCTCCCCTGGTCCCCTCCCCTCGTCCCCGGCCGCCTGGCGCGAGGGACCGGGATGAGCCTGTCCCTCCGGCCCGTCCCCGGCTCCCCCGGCTGCCGACGGGCGCTTCGCGTGGAAAAGCCACTTTCTTCGCCCGCCGAGATGGGCCCGAGCCGGGGCTGCCCAGGACGCGTCGGCGGGCGGCCGCAGCCACAGCCGCATCGCCGCGGTCTCCGCGATTGAGCTGGTATTTGGGCTGCTGGTGGCGGCGGCGGCGGCGGCGGGGACGGTTGGGGGGGGGGGGTGGGGGGTGGGAGGAGGCGGAGGAGGCGGCGAAGGAGGAGGAGGAGGAGGGAGAACACCGTGCAACGTTGGGACTTGGCAGCTCGCCTCCCCCTGCCCAAGGATATTTAATTTGCCTCGGGAATCGCTACTTCCAGAAGGGAACTCAGGAGGGAAGAGGCGCGCGCGCGCCTGGAGGGACACCGCGGGGACGCCCCCTCCCTCCCTCCCTCCCTCCGTGGCCGCCGCTACCTGCCGGTGCCGGACGCCTGCCCGGGCGGCGAGAGATGCATCTTCTCCCCTTCCCGGCCGCGGCGGCGGAGAGGACCCTGCTTTCTCCGAGGCTCGGGGCTGCGCTCGGGCGGGACGCACGGCCTCACCCCCCGGGCATGAAACGCCCCTAAACTCCGATCGGGGTTCCCTCCCGGGCACCGGCGCTGTGCCCTCCTGCGACGGCCCCTCCCCGGTGCTGGGGGCGGCGTGGATCGCGGAGCCCGGGGTTCGGCCGCCTCCAGCCCCGTTTGCATGTGCGGGGCCGCCGCGGCGCCGAGCCTCCGCCCCCCAGCGCCCGGTTGTTTTTCGGCGCCTCCCGCGGCTCGGCGGCCGCGGCGGCAGCAGCAGCAGCAGCAGCAGCAGCACCAGCAGCAGCAGCAGCAGCATGGCGAGCCCCCCGGAGACCGACGGCTTCTCGGACGTGCGCAAGGTGGGCTACCTGCGCAAACCCAAGAGCATGCACAAGCGCTTCTTCGTGCTGCGGGCGGCCAGCGAGGCGGGGGGCCCCGCGCGCCTCGAGTACTACGAGAACGAGAAGAAGTGGCGGCACAAGTCGAGCGCCCCCAAACGCTCGATCCCCCTGGAGAGCTGCTTCAACATCAACAAGCGGGCCGACTCCAAGAACAAGCACCTGGTGGCCCTCTACACCCGGGACGAGCACTTTGCCATCGCGGCCGACAGCGAGGCCGAGCAGGACAGCTGGTACCAGGCCCTCCTGCAGCTGCACAACCGGGCCAAGGGCCACCACGACGGTGGCGGCGGCGGTGGCGGCGGCGGCGCCGGGGTCCCCGGCGCGGGGGGAGTCGGCGGGAGCAGCTGCAGCGGCAGTTCGGGCCTCGGGGAGGCCGGCGAGGACTTGAGCTATGGGGACGTGGCCCCGGGCCCCGCCTTCAAGGAGGTCTGGCAGGTGATCCTGAAGCCCAAGGGCTTGGGGCAGACAAAGAACCTGATTGGCATCTACCGGCTGTGTCTGACCAGCAAGACCATCAGCTTCGTGAAGCTCAACTCGGAGGCGGCGGCCGTGGTGCTGCAGCTGATGAACATCCGGCGCTGCGGCCACTCGGAGAACTTCTTCTTCATCGAGGTGGGCCGCTCGGCGGTGACGGGTCCCGGGGAGTTCTGGATGCAGGTGGATGACTCGGTGGTGGCGCAGAGCATGCACGAGACCATCCTGGAGGCCATGCGGGCCATGAGCGACGAGTTCCGCCCGCGGAGCAAGAGCCAGTCGTCGTCCAACTGCTCCAACCCCATCAGCGTCCCCCTGCGCCGCCACCACCTCAACAACCCGCCGCCCAGCCAGGTGGGCCTGACCCGCCGCTCGCGCACCGAGAGCATCACCGCCACGTCCCCGGCCAGCCTGGTGGGCGGCAAGCAGGGCTCCTTCCGGGTGCGCGCCTCCAGCGACGGCGAGGGGACCATGTCGCGGCCCGCCTCGGTGGACGGCAGCCCCGTGAGCCCCAGCACCAACCGGACCCACGCCCACCGGCACCGGGGCAGCTCCCGCCTGCACCCGCCGCTCAACCACAGCCGCTCCATCCCCATGCCGTCCTCCCGCTGCTCGCCCTCGGCCACCAGCCCCGTCAGCCTCTCGTCCAGCAGCACCAGCGGCCACGGCTCCACGTCCGACTGCCTGTTCCCGCGGCGCTCCAGTGCCTCGGTGTCCGGCTCGCCCAGCGATGGGGGCTTCATCTCCTCCGACGAGTACGGCTCGAGCCCCTGCGATTTCCGGAGCTCCTTCCGCAGCGTCACCCCGGATTCCCTGGGCCACACCCCGCCGGCGCGCGGGGAGGAGGAGCTGAGCAACTACATCTGCATGGGTGGCAAGGGGCCCTCGACGCTCGCCGCCCCCAACGGCCACTACATCCTGCCCCGGGGCGGCAACGGCCACCGCTACGTCCCCGGCGGCACCGCCGCCTTGGGTCTGAGCCCGGCCCTGGCCGCCGAGGACTCGGCCACGGGCGACGTGGACAATCGCTTCCGCAAGCGGACCCACTCGGCGGGCACCTCGCCCACCATTTCCCACCAGAAGACCCCCTCGCAGTCGTCCGTGGCGTCCATCGAGGAGTACACGGAGATGATGCCCGCCTACCCGCCAGGAGGGGGCAGCGGTGCCCGCCTGCCCAGCTACCGGCACTCGGCCTTCGTGCCCACCCACTCCTACCCCGAGGAGCCGCTGGAGATGCACCCCCTGGAGCGCCGCGGGGGCCACGCGCGCCCAGACTCCGCCAACCTCCACACCGACGACGGCTACATGCCCATGTCCCCCGGCGTGGCCCCTTCGCCCAGCGGCCGCAAGGGGGGCAGCGGCAGTGGCAGCGGCGGCAGCGGCGGGGGCGGTGACTACATGCCCATGAGCCCCAAGAGCGTGTCGGCCCCGCAGCAGATCATCAACCCCATCCGGCGCCACCCGCAGAGAGTGGACCCCAACGGCTACATGATGATGTCCCCCAGCGGCAGCTGCTCCCCGGACATCTCAGGGGGACCCGGGGGCGGTGGTGGCGGTGGCGGCAGCGGCGGGAGCGCCACCCCCTCGGGGGGCAGCTATGGCAAGTTGTGGACGAACGGGGTCGGGGGTCACCCCTCCCCCACCCTGCCGCACCCCAAACTCCTGGTGGAGGGCAGCGGGGGCGGCGGCAAGCTGCTGTCCTGTGCCGGCGACTACATGAACATGTCCCCCGTGGGGGACTCCGCCACCAGCAGCCCCTCCGACTGCTACTACGTCCCCGAGGACCCCCAGCACAAGCCGGTCCTGTCGTACTGCTCGCTGCCCCGGTCCTTCAAGCACACGCCGCGCCCCGGGGAGCTGGAAGAGCCCGTCCGCCACCAGCACCTGCGCCTGTCGTCCAGCTCGGGCCGCCTGGTCTACGCCGCCACCGCGGCCGAGGACTCCTCGTCGTCCACCAGCAGCGACAGCCTGGGTGGCGGCTACTGCGCTGCGAGGCCCGAGCCGGGCCTGCCGCCCCTCCATCACCAGGTCCTGCAGCCGCACCTGCCGCGCAAGGTGGACACGGCCGCGCAGACCCACAGCCGCCTGACGCGGCCCACGCGGCTGTCCCTGGGGGACCCCAAGGCCAGCACCCTGCCCCGGGCGCGCGAGCAGCAGCCGCTGCCGCCCCAGGCCCCGCTGCTGCACCCGCCCGAGCCCAAGAGCCCCGGGGAATATGTGAATATTGAATTTGGGGGTGACCAGCCGGGCTACCTGTCCGGCCCCGTGGCCTCACGCAGCCCGCCTGCCGTGCGCTGCCCGGCCCTGCTGCAGCCGGCACCCCGAGAGGAGGAGTCGGGCGCCGCCGAGGGGTACATGAACATGGACTTGGGGCCCCGGCGGGCCGGCTGGCAGGACAGCGCCGGGCCTGCCCCTCTGGGCACGTCGGGCCTCTGCAGGCCCACCCGGGCGGTGCCCAGCGGCCGCGGGGACTACATGACCATGCAGATGGCCTGTCCCCGGCCCAGCTACGTGGACACCTCGCCCGTGGCCCCCATCAGCTACGCCGACATGCGGACAGGGGTCGTGGTGGAGGCGGCGAGCCTCCCCGGGGCCACGGCGGACGCTCCATCCTCATCAGCTGCTGCCTCTACTTCCCCCACAGCACCTCCAGGAGCCGGGGAGCTGGCGGGCCGCGCCTCCCTGCTGGGCGCCCCCCAAGGCCCCGGAGCCCTGAGCGCCTTCACCCGGGTCAACCTCAGTCCCAGCCGCAACCAGAGTGCCAAAGTGATCCGGGCCGACCCGCAGGGGTGCCGAAGGCGGCACAGCTCCGAGACCTTCTCCTCCACGCCAAGTGCCACCCGGGCGGGCAACACGGTGCCCTTCGGGGGGGCCCCTGCCGTCGGGGGCGGCGCCGGCGGCGGGGGCGGCGGCGGTGGCAGTAACAGCACCCAGGAGGTGAAGCGCCACAGCTCCGCTTCCTTCGAGAACGTGTGGCTGCGGCCTGGGGAGCTCGGGGGAGCCCCCAAGGAACCGGCCCAAGTGTGCGGGGCAGCCGGGGGCCTGGAAAACGGGCTTAACTACATCGACCTGGATCTGGTCAAGGATTTCAAACAGAGGCCCCCGGAGCGCCCCCCTCAACCCCAGCCGCCCCCGACCCCGGCCTCGCACCAGTCTCTGGGCAGCAGCGAGAGCAGCCGCCGCTCCAGCGAGGATTTAAGCGCCTACACCAGCATCAGTTTCCAGAAGCGGCTAGAGGACCGCCAGTAGTCCGACTGGGCGTCACAGCAGGTGCGTTGGGTAGTGGCAAATCCAGAAAGAAAACTGAGTCCCCCCCCTCCCCCCCCCCGCCCCTTGCTCGCTGAATGCCGTTTCCACATGCTCTGCCCTTTGCTCTGGGTGGTCCCGGGGGTCCTTAGGGAGCCACAGCTAGGGGAGGGGGGAGGGGCAGGGTCACAGCATCCCTTGAGGACCCCAGAGCTGAGGGTCGCCCACACACCGGAGGGGCTTTGGCTCTGGAGGGTCTTTAAGAGAGGTCCCGACTTGTGGAATTTTCCAAGCACAGGGCCTCACTGCGGTTTGGGAGACTTTCAGCTCCTAGAGCTCTCCGAACCTTGACTGAAGTTTGGTTTGGCCTGTCTATATATAGGTCTGTCCCTGGAAGGGACAATTCTGCAAACACGGGTCTTCAGGCCCGTGCTATCCTATGAGACAGTTTCGCAGAGCTCTGATGGGGGCTGTTAGCTGGTTATTTAGTAGTCTAGTTCTGTAATGCCAGGAAACTGAGGCAGCACAGTGAGCGATGGGAAACATTCACTTGTATTCATGCTGTCCGAAAAAATATTGAAGGGTCAGAGCGTGTGGAGGTGTTCATATTTAGTGAGGAGTACCAGTCGGTCACTGTCTCGCTCCAAAAAGTCTGGTGATGTTTGCTTTCTGCTTCCCAAGCAGGATTAGGGAGGTATTTATTATTCACACACAGACCTACCACCTTGCAGGCCCGGCCGCTTTTATATGGGACAGGCAGTGAAGTCTGTGTGTGTCTGGACCCATTATTAGTGAAGAGTTATGGAAATTCATTCCTGAGTCTGTCTGTTCTTGTGAAGGCCTGCTTCGAGACTTCCCACAGATCCTAGAGGGGGCTACTGGAGATCTTGTTACCTAACACTTTTCAGACTGGACAGAAGGAATATTATATTACATCAGGTAGATAGATATTGTTTTCTGTACATGGAATGTAAGAGCTCCAACGTGCACTCTGCAGTTTGAGGCAATTTGTTGTTTGCCTTTAAGTCTAAAAGTAGAGGCCTCAGTAAATGTTGCAAGTTGGCTTTTTCCTGTGGCTAGGGCTGTATTGGAAATGAAAAACATTTGTAATAGGAAATTAGCCTGCCCTTGGTTCTGTTGAGCCTATTTTCTGGTGGTCATAATTGTGGGAAGAGAGGAGTATAGTTTGCAAATAATGTGATGAGTTGGCAATGCAGAAGTTTCCAGCATTTGGAAACATTTTAGCCTGACAAACTGATTGTCTTATGACCTTTTTAATATATTCTTCGCAGAATGAGCTTTAAAGAGCATTGTTCTTTTCTATTATCTGTCCATTGATAAGAAATTAATCTGTGAACCACGTTCTTACCAACAGGTATTTGCTAATGGTTATGGTCTTCCATGATTTGAAGTTTCTGATATTTAACTGTTTCTTATAACGAGATATACAAGTGTGCGGACTTTTAAGGGGTGTGGTGTATATCTATTTGAAAACCTCATTTGATCAGTGTATTCAACATTTGTTTTCATGATTCACTTTAAGAGATTTAATTATCTTAATCAACAGCAGAAGTTCCCGTTATTTCAAATGATATATTAAGGAACCTTAAACACGCTAACGCTTCAACCATTTGTATTGCAAAGTATTGCATTTATAAAGTCATGAGACTGGGAGGGAACCCCCCCACCCAGCCGAACTAACATTTTGTTTATAAAGGCAGTGAAAGAAGCAGCTCAGGAAGTCAGTTTTCCTCACCTGTTTTCTAAATTTGTATAGGTTTCTTTCTGCTATAAGTGTAGAATCAATACTACTTGCTCGAAGAGAACTGATGACCAACTTGAGCTTGGTTTTCAAAAGGGCTTGATAATAACAATCCTTCTATGAAGGGAACACAAACCAACCAAAGACCAGTCTTCTACTCTGAGTTTACTGGTGGAAAATAGAGTAGTCTGGAATAATCATAATCTCATCTTTAATAATCTTGAAGTAGCAGACCATGCTTTGACACCATGTCAACAAAAACAAAAACCCTCCCCCCAAAAAATGTCCCTCCACTTGTATTTAAAAGATGTAAATGGATAAAGAAGAGGGTGTGAGTGCATGTGGTGTGTGGGGGGGGTGGGGGTGGGGGGACACCAAATGCGGCTCATCACATTTGTATCCTGAATCCTGCTTGCTTTGCCCTCTTGAATATAAACATGTGCTTTGATAGTCAGTTACTATCTGAAACAAAAAGAAGTCAGACCTGTCGGTGGCAAACAACTTTCCCCAGGAATGAGGATGTTTGGGAAAACATCCTTCGCAACGCCCTCAGCAAAATGCAGTCTCCTCTGTCCCCGTTCTCAGGGAAAATATCCAGCTTGCAAAGAAAATGAAATGCTCTGAGCAGGTTGGCGCTCTCTGAACTCATTTTGAACCTCTGGGCTCGCTTCGTTCTTTCCCCCTGTCTGTTGATCACCGAGGAGGACGCCAGGGAGGCGTTCCCCTCGGGTGCTCAGTGCTCGCTTGGAGGTACTTGCCCGGGTCCGAGCAACCTTCCCTGCCTCTCCCGCTCTCCTCCGGCAGCTTGGCGAGCACGCCTCGCCTCCTTGCCCACTCCCTTTGTTTTCCTGGTTCTGTTCCTGACAGGGCCCGTTTCGTTTCGCTGCATTCCAGAATGTCCTGGTCCTTGGGCCCGCGCTGTCGCGAGGGCATGCAGAGCCCCACGCAGGAGGGCAAAAAGGACATCGGGCTTTCAGTTGTCGCAGGCCAGCCACCTTTAACCAGCAAATCGGATTTGTAGTTGTGAAACCGCAGCTGGGCAGACGGAGCCGGCTCGAGCTCCTCTGCGTGTGTGTGCATGTGCGTGAGTATGTGTTTGTGTGTGTGTGTGCATGTGCTTGTGTATGTGGTGTGTTTGGGGAGGCGGGGGGTTTTGTGGATTCCCCGCCCCCATATTGTGCAGTTCCCTTTTTTTTTTTTCCGAATCTATTTCTTGGGTAGGGGGGCGACTTCCGAAGCTCCCCACCGCCCCCCTCCGCCTCCTCCCCTTCCCCTCGCTGTGTGGCCTTTTTGTCTGGCGCAAAACCCTCTCGGTCGGGTACGCCCCCCTCCCCGTTTCTCGGGTCACCTCCGCTTCCTGCATTCCTCCCTATTTATTGGGCACGAGGCTCCTCCTCCTCCTCCTCCTCCTCTCTCCTCCGGAGCCCCCCGGAGCCGGGGGCTGGGAATCTGCAGCCCGGCCGAGTGCCGAGGGCTCCCCCGCTCCGGCCCGTCGCGGGTCGCGGCCCCGGCTGCGGCGCCCCGCGCTCCCCCCGGGCTGCGGTTCCTGCCGCCGCGAGGGGCGGGGCCGGGCTGGGAGCGGGCGGGCCGTCGCGCGCTGATTGGCCTCCGGCTGGGCCAATCAGCGCCGGGCTGCGGCGGGCGCGGGGGCGGGGGGGCGGCGGGGGTGGGGGCCGGCGCCCCAGTTCCCGGGTCGTGCGCTGGGGGTGGGGTGGGCCCCCGCGGCCCCGGGCGGCCTTTGCGCACCCCCCTTTCCCTTCCCTCCACCCCTTCCCTTCGGGGCCTCCCCCCTACTCCCCTAGAGCGCGACCAAGGACGCGCCGCCCCTCGCCTCCCCCCCCCCCACCCCTTCCCGGAGCTTGTTTTGCGCTCAGCATCTCGACCAGAATCCTAAGAATGAAAAAGTCCGACCGCTCCCCTCCTCCGTCCCCCCCCCCCCCCACAGGCCGGAAACACACGCTTCCTCTTTATTTTTAATTGAGAAAAATCCAGGCCTTAACCATGTGACGCGCCCCATTTTGTTTCTCTCCCCTACTATATTTTACTACCACTCCACGTTCCTCCTTCCTGCCTTTGGAGCTCTGCAAGCTGGAGGCAGCTGCAGCACGTGGTGGTTGTAGGCGCGTGGGGTTGGCTCAGAAATCTTCCATTTACGTCTCTTCCTAATGGGAGGGAGGGAGGAGGGAAATTAAAAGAAAGAAATACTAGCTCGGTGGCTGGCATTGTCTGGAAATCATGGGGGGTGAGGGTGGGGGTTAAAAACTCATTTGGCTGGAAATTGCAGGAGGGTGAACGCTTTAGTGAGACGCTGCTAGTTTGCAAAGCTGGGAACTAGATAAGAGGAACAAAAACAACCTTCCCTTCGGGGGGCCTATGGGCGCTCGCTCACAGTGAAATGCAAACTGGGCATCCCGCGTGCAAATGCTGGGAATCTTTGGATTGATTTCAGTCTAAGGCCTGAGTTGGGGTTCTTTGTTGGAGTTGGGGAAAATGCTGCCTACGTTCTCCCAAAAAAAAAAAAAAAAAAAAGCCAGTTAAGTGTTTTGACCCCTGACAGCTTATCAGGGCAGACTGGGCAAACTGCTTTTGAGAACTTGCTGGATTTGTTATTCTTCCTCTTTTTTTTTTTCCTTGAGCCAGATTTGTGTTATATTAATACACTGTGAGATGGAAAATTTGTTCCGATTTGACCTTTCTAAAATAAAGAAGGAAAATGAGAGAAATCGTGCTGTAGAAGTATTTCTCCTCCCAGCCTCCTCGTTGTAAATAAGTAGACCAACCTCCCAGCCCTTCTCTCCACTTACAAAGCCTACACTTCTGTACCAGTTGATGTATCATAGATGATATTGTAAGGTTGGGCCAGTGGAAATACTATGCCCAGCACTGCTTCTGAACCACGAGTTTTTGTTATTCCTGAAAACTTTGAGCATCTGACAGCCATCTTAATTTCAGCCATTCTTCAGGCAGCTTTTTCCGTTTAAAAAAATCCATCAGAAATTCCATTACTTGTCATTGATCCGATTGTAGCCCCTCCCCCAAACGCTCTCTCCAGCCTTGCCTTATGTAAAGAACTTCAATCAAAAGGGCATCCTCTCCTCCCCCTCTTTGTTTTTCCCCCTGTTATCGAAATTCCTGGAAAATAGCTTTATGTTATCTTAAATGATGCAATGGAAAAACCAGCTCCCAGGAGCCAGAGAACTTGAGTTCTAACCCTGGTTGAGTGTCCTTCACTAGTTCAGTGACCTTGGACAAGTCAATTAAT